AAACGTAGGGACATATTTGCTTTTGGTTTTTTTTTTTATATATCATGAAGTTTGCAGTTTTCTTGATGTTTTGTTTTGGTGGTGTCAATTTAGAAAATTTAGGGTGCTAAAATTATTGAGGTTTCATTATTATGAATGAAAGAAATGAATATTAAAGTTTGGTGTATTTACTGCTTCTTTTATCCTAAGATTTGAAATGTACCCTCTTAATTACCATATTAATGTTTGGATGTCTATTATCTATTTTTGTTATTCTATATGTTGTATACATTTAATTAATACAAATTTTATTGATTTTTATACTACTTTGTTTGGGTCATTTGATTAAATAATGGATCCAATTATTTTGATTTAAGAATTATCGTATGCATAACACATTATAATTTTGGTTTTGTTTCTAGTTCGAGTCTAGTATGAATATCTCATAGATATTTGATGAATGACTAATGGATACCTAAAACCCAATTGGGTTGGATTTGGTTTGTGCCTAATTAGGTTTAGGTAAGAAATCTAAGATTGGGTTTGGGTATGGATATTAAAAAACCCAACCCATAAGTATCCATTATCATCCATGTGTATAATTATTCCAAAATATGGTAACATAATAAATATGTCAAGAAAAGAAATACGAGGGCAAATATCTAAAAATTTAATGGAAAATTTGAATCACTAAAACTAATGATTTTACTTTTTTTCAAAAATAATCTTCCCTCTTTTATTGGATGTATGTTTGCCCTGCTTCCATATCTTTACATGTTAATAATAAGAGGGATGAAGTATACCACAGGAAAACAATTAAAAGAAAGCTTAAGTTGTTGCCTTTATTATTGTTGTTGGTTATGTAAATTAGTTGTTGTGGATTAGCATTGTTGACGTTACCTTATTTATAAATATGATAATGACTAGTTATTATCAATTGTTATGCTTAGATTGTAGGAGAAAGATGTGGTTGTTATTACTATCTTCTCTATTTAGTTTGTATTTTGTACGTGTAAAACTTGACTGTGATTGTTTAAATAAAACAAGCTCTATTTCTTCAAATTTCTTTATGGTATCAGATTTGGTTCTTATTGTTCTATATTTTATTTAAAGTCTTATGGAAGACACTCCTAAATCTGGTGGTGTTAATATCATAAATAAACCTTTCAACATTTTAAAAGGAGAACCATATCCAAATCAGCATTTGGGTTCTGTATTGTTAAATGAGCTCTAGATCTTCCTTGGTCTAGAGTCATGATAATTGCTGTTGAAGGAAAGTCCAAACTCAACAATATTAATGGCTATATTAAACCTTTTGACCTTTTTTCACCAACCTATAAAGTTTGGTAATGCAAAGATCAACTTGGTATTTCTAGTTGCTCAATTTTATGAAGAATAATATTGCTAATTTTTTTAGTTATTCAAAGTCTCCATTCGATTTATAGGAGGCAATGAAAGAAATATATGATAATCATAACAATATTGCTTGAGTGTTTCAAATAAAAAAGGATTTTTCTAATCTTCAGCGAGATGGCAGGACCTATGTGTAACTGCTTGGAATGTTGAAGAGTATATGGAGTGAACTCGCACTATACCACCTTCGTATTATTGAAGTTATAGTATTGCAAAAAGAGAGGAAGATAAGATATTCCAACTTTTATCTTGTTTTGGTTTAGATTATAAAGATCTTCGTAGTCAAATTCTTATGAATCTTTATCTTGTATCACTTACAAGTGTATATGCTACAATTCAATAAGAAGAAGTCTACAAGAAAGTTATGAATATAGAGCCTAAAATCACCTTGTCATAGACATATGCTTATATTTTAAATAGACAGATAAAGAATGACAAGGCTTATGAAAGGAAACAACTAAATTTAAAGTGGTAACATTGTTATAATTTGGGTCATTCAATTATGTGATGTTGAATTCTTCATTCAAAGCTAAAACATAAGTTTAAAAAGAAGAAGGGATTTCAAAAATATTATGAACATGAAGCTCATATTACTGCTTACTCTGATGATTTTTTACTTAGTGATGTGATAATTTTTTCTACCAATCTAGTTGCTCTTTTTAATGATTATGTTACATATTTATAGGAGAAGGGTGATTATAGTTTGTCAATTTCTAGGAATTATAATTCCACAACTCTTCCTGGTAAGTTTAATGGTTTCTTGGTAAGCTTTGTGCATTTATCATGAGAAAATATTGAAGTTTTTTTTTATTGCATTCAAAATTGTTTTAGTCGCTAGTACTATACATGATTGTTGGGTCATTGATTTGGATGTCATTGATCACATGACAAATAAAATGATCAATTTATATCACTCTAAGAAGATTTCTACTCCAGCTCATATATTTTTTTGCAAATGGGAAAAAGGTGTTTCTATTGAGGGTAAAGAAAATGTTAAATTATTATCTAAAGATGTAGAATATATGGTTATATATGTTCTCTTTTTTTTTTTTTCATTTTAGTTGCTTTCTATTGACAAACTTACCTAAACTCTTAATCATTATGTTATATTCTATTCTCACAAGGTTATTTTCAAGACCTTGTCATCAAGAAGATGATCGATAAAGGTTTCTTTTTCTAAGGACTTTATTATATTTCTAGAAATCATTAGAACATCAAGAATTTTCATGTTTTTTGCTCTTTCCTTTTTTTTTTGGGTCAAATTTTATGGCATCAATATTTAGCGCATCCCTCTGAAATTGTTCATACTAGTTTAATGTCTTATTTAGATACCAAGTCCATCACTTGTGATACATGTCGTTATTTAAAAAAATCACTATTTATGCCTTCTTTGTTTAGAGCTAATAAGATTTTTAAACTTATACACTATGATGTTTGAGGACCTATTATTGGATTTTTTGATGGTTACAAGTATGTAGTTACTTTCATTTATGATTTTTCTCATTAGAAAAGCCATGGGTTATCCATTCTAAACAACTCACATCTCCAGTAAGGGGCTCTAACATCCAATGTCATCCTAGAAAGGTCACATGTCTCCCACACTCTAATGTAACCACTATTCAGGGGATGAAATTGATCTCTCGAGTGCAATAACACCACCTTTCATGAGCTTTTCCCCTCTGTCCCTTCAAAAAATTTCTAAGTATAGGTATCGAAATGAATTCGACCCTTTCAACCTTTAGAAATATTTCTAAGTATGAGTATTGACATGAGTTCATTCCCCTAGCCACTTATTACCTGAGGTTTTCACCCTTCTTTTTATATGAAGAAAATTCAACAACTCATTGTACTAGGTATTTTTACAAATCTTTGCATATTAATATCACAAAGACTAGGTTTAATGGGCCCAAAACCCTTCTTAAAAAGCCTCATTCAACGTATATGGGACACTAAAAAGACTCACTCTATGGGTTCCCTATAGGGAAGGAGCCCCCACTTTATGTTGTTGCTTTAAGGGAGGAGCCCGACTCTATAGGCTCTTTCTAATAGTCACTCCCTAAAAAAAGTGCCTAACTCAATGAACTCGTCCTATGAAATGCGTTTAGACCTATTTTTTACTTCTAATAAGTTAAAGCAACTTTTTCAAGCCCAACTCTCCATTAAGAATTTTTTTAGGATCCATGTGGATATCTCAGTATTTTATATTGATCCAATACATATTATTTTTGAGTTGATTACTCTTCAATTCATCCTCTCCATACTCATGGGCTATAAATGTATTATGAATTCTTCAAACTCAGGATTCACGGTCTCTTCAGTATTAACACTTTTAATATATATATATATATATATATATATTTTGCAAGGACTAGTTACTAGTTATTTTAGCTTATCAGGTACCATCAATTACTATCTATCTGAATTTTTAATATCAAGCTATAAAATATCTTGATTAAAAAAAAAATTATTTAAACTAAAAAAAACTAATTATCTAACCTATAAACTTTATTTTTAAATATTTTAGATTTTAATACTCATCAGAATTCCTTGAAACGATGGATCATATTTGTTGCTCAAAGTCCCTAGCCCGTTTTCCATACAGCCGAAACCCCAGAACTTTCAATGGACCCAGGACTGCGCCAAAACACAACTTTGCAGCCAATTCAAACGACTCCTTCACGAGCTCCCTACGCTTCCCAGCTTCTCCATCTTCCTCTGAACACGAAGTGCTCATCACCATCCTGCATAAACACTAACGATTTCATTAATAGAGGACATCAAAAAATATATTTCACTAACAGCCAATTAAAACAAGAAGTGGCTAACAAATATAAAATCAATTAGAAAAATTATAGGGTTGGCCTAATGATTGAGGGCTTGAATGAGTTCTGTAGAATGTCTCCATTCTATTCTATTAGAAGAAAAAAATAATTAACCTGCATGTGGCATTGTTTGTAAGCTTGGTTAACTCGGCACTCAAATCAATAGCCTCATTTTTGCTGGCTTTCTTCAAATATTTATGCATGAACCGCATGATCTCTTCACGTCTATCTCTACAGGACCTTTCAAGCTGCCATGGTTATGCAGGAGAGCAAGACGATGTAATTATTCATGTCGATTCATGTCAATAATCGAGGCCATCGCTAGAGAAAGTAACTTTGCAAGTGCATATTTTATGTCTTATGCTTGCGTGTAATGGTACCAACCACCAAATGTTAATCCATATTATCCGTTCTGGACACAAGGAAAAAACTAATCTCACGCATGATGATTCGGTGGTCCGCAGTCATATAGTAATGGTTTTTTAAAAAAAAATATTTTTTATTTAAAAATATATTTAAATAATATTTTTTATTTTAAAAAAATTATTTTTAATATCAACACATTAAAATAACGTGAGGACCTTCTGTCTACCAAAAGGGAAAATGGCAATAAAGCTATTGGTTTCTTCTCCTCGACCAAAATTTACTTGTCATTCTCTTAACGTGAAGGAGATGCAGTCATTTGTTGCCAGAACATGATGGGATATTGGAAGATGTTAAAGGAAAGGAATGCTTTTGGATAGAAACGAAGCAAGAAAATTAACCTGACAGCAAGAAGCAAGCATCGATGTTCAAAGGCCATGATAAATTAACTAAACAACTTGTTGACGTTGAAGAAGAAAGAAAATTAAACATAAAATGCTAAAATCCACTTGTTTCATTACATAAACTTCACGTTTATTCTCTTATTGCCAAAAGCATTGCTGTTGTCCTAACTAATGCCCCCTCCCTGGAGCTCTCCACGCGCTTATTCCTAATAATCTCCCATGCTCTATGCCCTACTTCTTCATGATTTCACCTGCACATAAAATGACAAAATAAGTAGCAGGATTGAAAGAAAAGGTAAGCGGGAAGAATAGAGCAGATATCAATTAATAAAATAGAAGAAAAGATCCTTGAAAAGATGCAGCATGCTAAAAGATAAAATTTATCATTAAAAAAAAATATCAGAGACCATTTTGATTCCCAGTTTGCTGATAATTTTATGACCATGAATTGGAAGAGTCGAAAATAAAGAACCTTCAGGGTGGCCTAAAAAAAAACCTCAGGGAGGGTGTGTGTGCGCGTGCGCGAGTTTTTGGAGAAAGAGAGTTACATGGTTCAAAGCTGGCTGAACACTTGTCAGGAAGCTGCAAGGCCATGTTCCTGTCAACACCAGAAATTGGAGGGCCATTGACAAGAGTACACAAGCAAGGCTGGCCGAGAGCTTTCACAGCACTGCAGCAGGCCTCACTTGGTTGGATAGGACTAAAAGGAGCAACTGCTGCCCTGCAAGGTATCATTTGAATGAGTGCAGAGAAGAAGGTGCTACCACAAGGATGTGCTTGGCCTTGCTCCGCCAATAATGTCAACATCAGCACAAGTACCAGGAATGGCAGAACCTTGACACCACAAAACTTCACCATCTTTGAACTGGGATATTATCTCCTTGATTAATGAATGTTTTCTTACTGGAAGAAATTGGTCTCGAAGATGTTCTATATATACATACATATCAAACGAACTCATGCTAGCTTGCACACCATTCCTAACCCAAAAGCTACAGTATTCATGCGATTCTTGTGTCAGCTCCAGAAGTACCGTTGGTGTGCTGATGGAAACAGTTGGGGAATTCAAATTTCATGACTCCTAGCTGTTGTTCAATTTTAATGTCTTAAAACCCATGTCCCTTGCAAGGACAACAAAGTCCTTTAGAAATTTGGATTGCTCATATAGGGAAAGCTAGCTAAGATTGATTTTCTTAGGTTAACAACTAGCCTCGCCGCTGGAATCACCCATTCTTCCTCTTGAGTGAGTGATCTTCAATCTGTTTAATTGTATTTTCACAACAATTATGCTTAATCATTAATTTGCTTTCCCAGTCAGTTTATTAACGAGCTCATTGCGTTTCTTAACCCATAATCAGAGGCTTGTCTAAATCCAAATTTGGTTCTAAAACAGAAACCAATAGAGTCCCACCAAGATAGAACAGAGGCTGTGGAGCAAATTAAAATTCCCTGTGTCCTAATCAGAAAACAGCCATTCAGAAATGTAAAACATCCATTTCCAATTGAAATTTATCATCTAAACAGATCTTTCAGGTCTGATATCAGTACCTTTGTTCCCAGTCAGTTTATTAACGAGCTCATTGAGTTTCTTAACCCATAATCAGAGGCTTATCTAAATCCAAAAACAGAAACCAATAGAGTCCCACCAAGATAAAACAGAGGCTGTGAAGCAAATTAAAATTCCCTGTGTCCTAATCAGAAAACAGCCATTCAGAAATGTAAAACATCCATTTCCAATTGAAATTTATCATCTAAACAGATCTTTCAGGTCTGATATCAGTACATTTGCACCATGTAAAATTAACTTTTAAGAAAATGGGGATGTATCAGAATTATATGCTAAGAAACGGCTAATTAAATGCTCCTATCCCAACAAATATCCGTTCTTTATTGCAAACAAATCATCCCAACAACCATTTGGTGATGTTTGCATCTCTAGAACAACAAAAAATAAGACAAGTTATCAAGATTCCACTTTGTTTCCTTTAAGGTTGATCACCGCAAGCTCCTGTTCAACAAACTCTCCTGCGCACATTAGTGGGTATTTGCTGGCCAGTGGAGATTCAACAAAATGGCCTAAAGGCTTCAACACGGCATCTGATGCTATGTGTGCAAAAAGCTGCATATGATCGAGGATAAAACAAGTAAGCACAAGATTCTTTAAGAAATGCAGTTTGCTCTTTAGAAGGTTGCAAGCACCAAGAGGATGATGATGGAGGAAATGGTATGCTTAGCTCCACTTACTGTTGATGAAACTCTCCAAAGGCTGCGATTTTGCTGTGATGCTAATTTGATTGCATCTATTGTCCTGTTTGTGACAACAACTTCATGCATGCCAGCCATGCATTCCCCTGCAGTCAACCACTCTATCTGCAAACAATGTAAATACTGTTAAGATTAAAAGCCAGATACAAATCAAGCCTAAGTTGTACTCAAGAAGTTGATTAAACTGTCATTCAGAGCTACAAACCACAAATGCAACATGGAACTGGAAAAAAAAAAAAGTTAACTGAGCTGAACACTAAATGGACCAACAACAATATATTATCTAAATTATCTTCCAGTTGTAAATAATTTCATATGAATAGCAATATTGGATTACTGGCTGTGTGTTCTATAAACCAGATATATGTTTCTTCTGCTTTCTTAATGGAAGCTAGTAGCATATGTGACCTGATAAGTAGAAGGAAAATGATATGTGAGAGTAAATACTAAATCACAAAGAGGGGAAAACAATGACCACAAAGTCAAGGTTAATCATAACACTGCCATCAGTATCTTGTTCATAAGTTTTAGCGTCTTAAAAATTGTGTCATCACTTTATATGCTTTTACCTGCTTTCCTGTCTGAATGAGAAGACATCCTGAAGGAACCTTCACTTCAATTTTTTGCCCATTCCTTAGCCAAATGTTTAGACCTGGAAATCTACTTCTGCCATGAATTGTTAAAAAGTTAAGGTCATAATGATACCCTGCAAAGACAGTGCCTTCCTGACCATAACAGCTGAGATCACTTCCTGTTGGAGCAAGCAGATGAGGTCCCTAGTGTTTACAGGGAGAATGGGAATTGTTATTCAGTGCATGAAGTTGTTACTACTGGAAACAAAAAGAAAATCATAGATCCTAAGACATAAGTACGATAACAGCATTGAGTTAAAGGGAGAAAGAGGACAAAGAATTAGTAATGAAGAAGTTCCTACAAGAAATTTGCACTCCTTGTCTGTTAATAAAATTCTAAAACAAAACAATTAAGGTGAGACACTTGTCAAGCCTTTGGGGTTCAGCTCAAGTGGTGGAGGAATGGGACATGATCTCCATGTGTTCTAGGTTCAATTGTCATCAAGCCCAACAAAAGGAATAAATAAATTGAATAAAAATAAGGAAAGAAAACAAAGAAGACAGAGGAACATGGCATGAAAGTACAGGTAAAGAAGTTAAAGATTGGAACACTTTACTAAAACAAATAAGATATTAACAAAGAGCTGCTACTAATAGGGATCCTTATGACACCCACCCAGCATTGAAAAGGCAGAGTCGAACACTTGCACCAAAAGTGAAAAAAAAATGTTAATCGTGAAATGAAAGGGCATAGAAAAACAACAAATCCATCATTCTTTTGTTCAATTTACATTTCCTGCTTTAGTGCTAAAGATTGATCAAGGAGAATAGAAAACAGGAACATACATAAAATTAAAAAGTTATATTATCAAAATTTTAACCTGTTTCATAAGAGAAGTAAATGCATCCTTGGACAAACCAAAACCAATTGCTGCCAGTTCAGCAACAGCCTGATAAAAGACATGGCATAGAGAACACTATAAGAGATATAATACAAGACAAATACAATCAAGCCAACAAACCACATAAAAAGATTACCTCTATTGCAGAGATCATTTTGCAACCCCATGCGTCCATAGTGTCTTTCCATTCAGGAAAACCTTCAGGTATTACAGGTTCTGAATTAAGTTCCTATGAGAATGGGATTGAAGTTAGCAAACAGTAACTAGAGGACCAAAATGTTAAAGGAAAAGAATGATCCCATACCTTAAAGCGAGTGTTTGATGGCCGAGGACCTACTCTCCACATGTATCGCCATTTAGGATCCGGTCCACTAGGAGTGGATGGTTGGAACTCTTTGGGCATTGCTTTTAACTTCTTTTGCATCTCTTCGTCAACCAAGCTTCTTGGAACTTCCACTCCCTCAGGTGTCACTCCAACCTGATATCCCCATTTCACAAAACGATTCTTTTATCTCTTTTTACAAAAAGAAAAAAGAAAATATCCCCATTTCACAAAACGATTCTTTTATTTCTCTTTTTACAAAAAAAATAACTCAAATACAATTTAACCACTGAATTTGGGGCAATATCAAATCCTTCCACATTCCCTTCCTTTTCCTTTATGATTCGGAAGTCAGAAAAATAAAACCTATACATAGTCTTTAAAAATTAAAACTAGAAAGAGAAGGCAACTTCTTGAACAAAACAATTGTGAGTATGTACCTTTTCATTTCTTTGATCTTCTCAAAAACCAAAAAATAACTAAACTACTGAATAACAATCAGAGTCCCTTTCTGGAAGACTGGAACTACAATAGTTCACAGCTTCATGAATCATGATGTGCTATTCTAGAGTGGTGTTTCCATAACAAATCCATATGAACAATTCTAGTCGCCATCAACACCTAAATCCCAACTATTTTCAGCTAGCAAACAAAAAACAGGAATAATAAATCAATAATTCCTCTGCTTCAAGCAACTAGTACTAAAATTCACATAAGCAATATTTTTTTTGTTGTGGCATTCAGTGATTAAAAAGAAAATATCCACCCTGTCAAACAATTAGATCAACTTGAACAAGGGGTTATCATCGTCGACAATATTCCCGAGGCGGTAACCAAACTTTTCCACTTTGATAAAATAGAAAGAAAGCTATCTAAGCTTCCAATTCTCTTCACATTTCACGGAAACCATAGAAATCACAATTCTCCGACTCCAATTATGCAAAGTAGGTAGGGACCCAAAACCAAACATAACAAAAGATTTAAAAGTGATAAATGTTCAACACCCTTTCCATTTCCATTTGTCACGTTTCCTCGGCAACCAGACAAACTTGATCGCTAACGTGGTAATGCAAATCCAGTCTAATCACTATAACCAATACAGCCTATCAGGTACTAATCAATGTTCCAAAATTTTCCCCTCTATTATCAAAACCCGATTCGATGAATTCCCTTCTCTTTCCCCACACTCTCAGAAACCAAAAGAATTTATCTCCCTACATTCTCCTAAACATCATCTAAATCAAACTCAAGAAACACTTTGGTTCCTAAAACCCCACACTTCCTCAACAAAAACATCCAAAACCCAGAACCAGCCCAATTCCCAAAATTTATCATCCAATACAATCATCCACATTAACACCTTCACATCCTCAAACTTCTCACCTCCCATCCCAAAAAACTGAACTTTCTCTCTTTCCTCTCACTTCATCCAAAACCCATAAACCAAAACCCCAAAAAACACACGATTAACAAACGATTAACAAAATATAAAAAAACCCTTCAATGTAGTACCTGATAATGCAAGTGAGATCTTTCTTGTAGTAACTTGAACTCTCTAGGTCTTTCAAAGTACTTTTCCATCATATCAATAAACTTGTCATTATCTTCCGCGGTACATCTCGGATCCTTAACTATCAAAGCTCCAGTTTCTCTCAGGATCTGACTCACTTCTTTACACAATTCACCGAGCCATGACCCGACTTCTTCGATTTGACCGGATAAAGTAACCGAATCAGTGCTCAGTTTATCTGCGATCTCTAAATATCTCGAGAGATCAATCACCGGTATCTCCATTTTTGATTGATTCTGGTTTTTGGTTTGTTTTCTCTTTTGGATTTTAATAGAAAGTGAGAGAGAATGATGAGACTGTTGGAGCTTTTGGATTTTAATAGAAAGTGAGAGAGAGAATGATGAGACTGTTGGGTATGGCGGGATAGTGGGTTGCTTTTTTATTTATCAAGGGATAACTTCATCTAAGCCATCCTACTACTAAGTATTTTGTTAGTGCATCCTTACAAGTTTCAATTACGCCCACCGTGACACAGATTTTTCACGGCAATATCATCATCCTCCTTGTGACCAACATTTCTCGGATCTTCCTTAGAAATGCATACGTATGGTTGTAGCCATTCCATTTTCTACCCAAAAATAAGAAATCTCTTTATTTGATTGACACAAATTTGTCATAAATAGGTGAAAGAAATAATAAATACAAATACTATCATAATTGTTGAATTATTACCTTCTAAAATTAATTCATGAACGATTCCAGTTGGTTGTGTAATTTCTATATTTATGCGTTGGATACTGTTGGATGGAAATCTAGTTTTTTATCAGAAGAAAATGTTGCCTCGGAATTGACGTGTCAAGGGCGTAGCCGAAACGTTTTTAGATGAAGGATCGAACAGTATCTTATGCAGTTTACTTTATTATTAAAAGGGGCCGCGGTGCATGTTAGCAAAAGGCTATTGTTTTGGGGGCCCATTGAGATTCAAGCGGGAGTTCCCTTGCGTGTGACTGTACCATACGCAAAGCACTTATTCCGGTTACACACTATCTGGACACGTGGCTGAGTGATTCCCCCCGTAATTCAGAATCCAGATCACATAGAAAGAAAAGGATCGTGTCCTTTGTTGGGTAAAATTCTTGATATTCTTTTTTACCTCGTGGGAGATGGACTGTAAAACATTTACGGGAGTTGAAGTAGTTTTCGTGTGGAAGTGACGAAAACCTATTATCCAAACAATCTTGGGATGTGTTTGGAATAGAGTTTGGTGTTGCTTTTTAGGTTGCACATTATTAAAAAAAAATATATATATCACACCTCACTGTAATTTTATCCTCTAAAACCCTGAGAGTAGTTTCACTTTTTATTTTAGATATGCCTCTGTGTCGCATGCGTTTTAAAAGTATTTTAAAAAGAATTTAAAGTTTTTTTATATTTTTAAATCATTTTTATATATTATTTTTTTTAAAAATAAAAAACATTATTAATATATTATTCTGAATAAAAAAACATATTAAAAAACAACTACAACCATACTTTTAAATACTTTTATATATATTATATTATAATTTTATATTATATTGCAATTTTATATTAAATAGCTTAGGTGGTTAAAGGATGAAATGAGACTCTTACGTCGCTTGTATGATGCCTGTATTCTTTTAAAAACAAAAAAAATGGGAAGGTGCGGGCCTTTTATTCAGCTTTATTACTTTATATTAGGTTTAAGATAAATTATTATTTTTTATATTTTTATTATTTTATAAAAAATTAAATTGATAAAATAAAGTTCATAGCTTGTGTGTTCGTGTAGTTGGTTAATTAACTAGATATTAATCAAATAATTTACTGAAATAGTTTTGGTATTTTTTAATATTTTTTGTTTTTTACTAATCTTATTGCTTAGTATAAATATTTTATTAAATTTTATATTTTAGTATTGAATTGATAGAGCTTAACGTTTTTTATTATATAATATAATAAAAATAATAATTTAACTAACTCGAGGTTTTTAGGATAACTAGATATCAAACAAAAAGTTAGATAAGGACTTTTCAAGTTACATCGAGCTCAATGATGGTTTTTTTTATATTTTAGTATGCAGTGAAAGTGCTTGCAAGATTTTTAAGAGGGGAAGTGGACAAGTGACGGTGAATATTTCTTTTTACCATGATGGTGAAGATTTTTTAAATTGATGATTTCATGTGAAATTATATATAGTTTAAAAAATATGTAAAATTATCTGAAAAGCTATTAAGTTGTACATGACATCAATTTTGTAAAGGTCAGTCCATGAGAGGCACTGGTTTTCTACACAATGGCCCTTTTTGTTAGTAGCTAGCCGGTTTGTGCGTGTTTTAAATTATAATTATGATTGTTTTTTAAAATATTTTTATTTAAAAAATATATTAATAATATTTTTAAAAAAAAATTATTTATAAAATCAGCATATTAAAAATATATTAATTTAAAATAAAAAATTAATGGACACCCCATGTAAATAAAAAAAAAATGCAAAAGATAAACACTTCTAAAACATAATACATAATGCCCAGCACTTATTAAATCAAAATGCAAAAGACTGAATTATAAATCAGCTCATCAAAAATTTTCAAAATGAATTTAATAATCCTTGCAGTTCAAAAAATAATTAATTAGTCCCGTGGTATGTGCTGGCGATACATGAACTAATAAAAAGAATAAACTAAAAAAGAGAAGGGGTCTAAGTGTCACGAGACTTAATTTACTGTAGATTCAGTCAAAAAACTATAAACATTTGTCTCTGTCGCTGATGTTAAAGGGGTCTGTTTAATTTTTTATTATTGTTGAAAATACTAAAATATCCTTAGGAATAAAACAAAATACAGGATGATGTCGAAGGGGTGTCTAAGGGTAGTTTTGTTTTTTCAATTTTGAATGCATGGTTAGATTACAACCCTTCGAGTTAAAAACAAGCCTTTGGTTAAGGGTTATTTTTGCCATCTCAAGTTGGTTTTTTTTTTTTGTTACTGGTTTGTTCAGGGTACTGTGGTATTTTAATATAAATTAAATAATATTAAATTTAAAAAAATTGTTTTTATAAACACTGATGAAGGTGCCCGTGAACTTCAATTAACATGTGGGGTGTCTTTTGATGATAAAACTCATTTTTTTATCGTATCATTTGATGCATTGCTCCATTTTTTTTTATCTTGACGCGTCACATATTAATAGCAAGTTTTAATTTTTATTAATTTAGTAATTCAATTCTAATATATATATATATATATTTAAATTTGATGCTTGTTATTTTTTTTCCTTAATACTTTTATAAAAAAAATTATTAATTTTTAATTTTATCTTTCAATATGTATATAATGTATTATTGTTTTAGATTTAATCCTCACCCTTTAAATTTTATTTTTTATTTTTATTGAAGTTTTTTCTTTTCAATTTAACAATATAATTAAAAACTTATGTATATTTTCATTTAATTTCTTATTTTTATCATTATTTTTTTAGTAAAATTATTTTTTTTTAAATCTAATCCTTTAATTTTAATTTTTCATATGTTGTTTTTTGATCCTTATTGCTTTTATTTTTACTTATTTATTTGATTATTTTGTAAAAGTTTTATCTCTTTTCAACCTAATCCTTCAATTCCAATCCATATATATTGTATTTTTAAATTTGGTTCTTATTATTTTATTTTTTTATTTTTTCCCAAAGCCTTTTTATAAAAAATTTATTAATTTTTAATTTCTATATTATTTTTTTCAATTTAGTTTTCATTATTTTAATTGTTTTTGAGTTATTTTATTTTCATTTTAACCCTCTAGTAAAAAAAATCATGTCCCTTTTCTTATTATTTTTTATTTTATTTAATTAATTTAACATGTATATCTATTTTTATTATTATTTCATTGAATAAAAAAAGTTATTTTAATTTAAAAAATTTATCAACCACAACCGTTTAAATTTCATGTTTTATGAAATTAAATATCTCTATCTATACATGCCTCTTAATTTTTTCAGTTTTTATTTTTAGTCATTTTTTATGATTTTTTCACTTATGAAAACACATAGTTTTCAATTTAGTTAATTACATTTATTTTTATATATATTTTTTATTTTCATGTAGAATTTTTTAAAATATAAAAACATGTTGAAAAAGTTTATATATAATTTTTTTATTAAGAAAAAAATATCTAATCCCACAATGAAAAACAAGTAAAATATCTAGTAAAATTACATAAGTTTGTTTTATATTGTAGTGTAGTGTATCTTTCAAAAATGTTTTTTTATTTAAAAATATATTAAAATATTTTTTTTATATTTTTAATATAAGCATATCAAATTCTTTAAAAATATTAAAAATACTAATTTTATATCTTTTCATGATAAACATATTTTAAAAATATTTTTAGAATGTATTTGATACTGTGACAGAGATTATTTTTCATTTTAAAATATATTAAAATAATATATTTTTTTAAAAAAATTATTTTTAATACTAAAAAACATTTTTTTAAAATTTAAATTTTTAACGAACCACAGCTAACCGAATTTCCAAACATGTTCTTAAACGCAGTTTTTACCACATAACCCGGAAAAATCTCGCCGCCTCTCAGCCACTGCCTGTTTTGTTAGCCCTCCTGCTAAAACCTCAGCCTCTCTCTTTCTCTCTCTAAACCCCCCCTCCCAACACACACACTCACACACACACACACACACACCTACTAGCATACACCTACACACAACCAACAACAACAACATACAGAGCTGCGATTGGATTGAAGCTTTTTTCGTCACTTAATTGGTAATACTAATCAATAAAGAATGAATGTTTAGTTCATTTCCTTGATAATTTCCTTGTTTTTTCCGAACCCATTTTTCATTTCTTTCTTTCTTTCTTTTATGTTGGTTTTGATTTCTTTGATTTTTTTTTGGTGTATCATAGTGTTTATATCGCAAAGTTTTGATTTTTGGTCATGGAATTTGATTGATTTTAATATCTAATAACCCTGTTGTTTAAAATTGCATGTGTTTTTGGGCTTTGAAATAGTTGATTTTTATGTTTATCAATGCGGGGTGGGATTTTTGTGTTTTTTGACTGGTCTCATCAGTTTTAAGGTGAAAGTGAAAATAGATTCATCAACGCTAGTTGATGTTACAGGATTCAAGTTTGTTTATGAGTGTCCCCTGTGCGCGCGATAACTCGAATGGATACTTTAGTTCATTTTGCAATGATTGAAACTTGAAAGCTCCTTTTGGCTTTAAAGCTACCAGGTTGGAATTTTCCTAGACAAGCAAGTGCAGGAAGATTTAAAGTCTTAGAACACTGTTTTCTAAATGAAATATGTATTCATTTATGCAAGAGTACTTACAGATGCACTTATGCACACACACATCATTGAATGATTACATTCTCTTTTGTGCATTCGGATTCTTTAGTATATTGATGATGTTTTCAGTTTTCACTGAACTGGTATTCTTTTCATTTTGAAAGCTAGTAAACCTTATTAAGTTTTCGAATTAGGAGGTGAAAATGGCTGGGAAATCTAATAAAGGGAGGAATCGGAGAGGGTCCAATAACACAACAAATTCTTTGGAGCCAGTGGCGTCATCAAATGCTCCTGTGAAAGATGACACAACTGCTTCAGAAGCTGGTGTAGCTACTCTTAATGAAGTACCAGCTGGGAGTGAATCAACTAATGGCTCCTCAGAGATAAAGGAATCTGAAACAGCAAATTCTGCTAGTGAAGCAAAGCAAGGTTGTTTTTATGATATTTATTTTTTTGCTTTCCTAAACCTCACAGTGTTTTGCTAATGGTATGGTCTGGTAACATTACTATTTCTCTGTCAACCCAACCTAGTGAAACGGTTGCACCAATCACTTGTTGAAATTGAGCTTAATTAAATGCTGCATTACTTGTTTGTAATCTTTATCGTTTGTTTTGTCACGCATCTCATGTGGTGTTCTCCCTATGAGTGCAGGTGATCTTCATCTTTACCCTGTCTCTGTCAAAACACAAAGTGGCGAGAAGCTTGAGCTACAAGTGAGCTAACATGTTCCATTGAGATGGTTTATTATTTTATAGCACTCTGTGCATTGGGTAGTACCGGTTTTTTCTGTCACCATTCTGCAATGCAGAAGTATTTTTTCCCTCTGCTCAAACAAGTAACTAATGACCTCAAGTTTTAAACATGCTCTTGCTCTTGGCATGTTATTTGCTTATTTATGTCAATGAATTGATAAATAATACAAAATCGCAGTTGAACCCTGGAGATTCTGTCATGGATGTAAGACAATTCCTTCTTGATGCTCCTGAGACTTGTTTCTATACATGCTATGACTTGTTGCTGCACACGAAGGATGGTTCCACTCATCAACTAGAAGATTATAATGAAATATCTGAAGTAGCTGACATTACTTCTGGTGGTTGCTCCTTGGAGATGGTCACTGGTCTGTTAGCATTGCTCTCTCTTTTGGTATTAGAGATCCATTTATGGACGATTCTAACGTGGAAACTTTTTTGGCAGCATCATATGATGATAGATCGATCAGGGCACATGTTCACCGCACAAGAGAATTACTTTCACTTTCTACACTTCATGCTTCATTATCAACATCCCTTGCTTTAGAGTATGAAACAGCACAAAAGAAAGCTCCGGGTTCAGGTGGCTTGTGATATTCATCCTAAAATCATTATCATTCTCCTTTAATTACGTATAAAGTATTTCTTAACTCTTCATTCAGTGCCAAAGATGTTCATACAATGCCTTTAATGTAGATACTGGAAAAACAGAGGTCCCTGAGCTTGATGGGATGGGATTTATGGAGGATGTTGCTGGCTCGGCTGGTAAATTGTTATCATTCCCAACAAAGGAAATCAAGTGTGTGGACAGTATTGTGTTTTCATCCTTCAATCCCCCTCCAAGCCATAGAAGGTCTAGCCCTCTCACTCTCTCCTCTGACTATTTGCACAAAAAATCCAGCATTTCCCTTGGAGTGTGATTTAGCAAAATAATTTGTTTTCTTGGTTGCCTCTCCAGGCTTGTTGGGGATTTGATTTATCTGGATGCAGTAACATTGGAGGGTAACAAATATTGTGTTACTGGAACCACAAAGATGTTCTATGTCAATTCAAGCACAGGGAATGTGCTTGACCCTAGGCCCAGCAAAGCTACTTCTGAAGCAACAACCCTTGTTGGACTGCTGCAGAAAATCAGTCCTACATTCAAAAGAGGTAAAGGAAGGCAATTGAGAATTTATATTTTATTGAGGCTTGAAGTTCATTTCTCAGTTCTGACTTTTGAATACTATGTTTCCTTGTGTGTTCCTATTTTGAAGCTTTTCGTGAAATTTTGGAGCGTAAGGGCTCTGCACACCCTTTTGAAAATGTACAATCTCTCCTGCCACCGAATTCATGGCTAGGATTATATCCAGTTCCTGGTAAGTAAAACGTTTGTATTCTATTTTGTATATTTATGCTATTTAGTTCCTAAAGTTGCAGAACACTGCTTTATCTTGAATGGACATTCTTCCTTGCAATTTTTAGTGTAAATCAACTAACCAGGTATTTTAGCTTCTTTTAGATGGGTTACGAGCTGTACTTCTAATCTTGATTAGTTTTATTTTTTTGTTGCTCACTCTCAAACTTGTCTAATTCCATCCAAACTTCAAACTCTTCCTTCATTTATGTCATTGCTTTGTTCATTTAGAAACACGGTCCGCCTTGCATAGATTTCAAGGAAGTTTCTGTTGGTATTTTTCAAGTAAAGTAAGCTTTACCTGAAAGTTTATTTCTCTTAAGTTGTGAATTATAATCTATGCATCACATCATTCCTGGTGAAAAATTTTGAATTGAAGCTTTGATAAGTTTTAATGAGGCATCCTTTATGGGAGTTGGGGAGGGGTTTGTTATGATGTTGTAGCTACATACTGGTACAAAGCATTGTGGCACAGGAAGTCAGAGGAATAATTAAAGAACAGAGAGATGAAAAGAGGCAATTAGAAGAGAAAAAACTGGATGGAGAAGAAGGGATCTTCTCTTCCGAGTCTGATCAGTTTTTACCCTCATGGGAGCTATCCAGTTTCACATCAATAAGGCTTTTCAAGCTTAACAGCAATAACAACCAAAAGAAATAAGATGAAATCAACCTGGCCATGTATCTTCCCTGAATTCTTGTAGCTATCCTTTTTTTATTCATAGCTTGATTTTTTAGATAGTGGTTTTTTCTTCAGGATTAAATTTGGCTGAAATTACTTATTTAGGTACCATGTGATCATGTATATTTTCAGGCATGCAATATAAGAACCAGCTGCATCAACTAATTAATTGTTCTGAAAAAGTTTTTGTTCTGAAAAGATAATTAGAATTTTATTTGGTGGTGAAATTTTATAATAAAATACATTGAATATGTATGCTACTAAAATGAAGAACAATACAGAAGAAAAATAGGGTTTTGAAGTACAGTTGAAGGCACTGTAGCCACAGTAGCATGTGATAACATGGCACCAAATATGTACTTTTGGATGAATTGGCTGCTATCCATAAAAATGACAGATCTGTGGAATTCAGTGGTTCATTCGACATCTCACCTGCATCAGCTTCATGTTTTTTTTTTTGGTGTCAGATCACATGCCTGATGCAGCCAGAGCTGAGGATGCACTAACTCTTTCGTATGGTAGTGAGCTGATTGGCATGCAAAGAGATTGGAATGAGGAGTTGCAATCCTGTCGAGACTTTCCCCATTCAACTCCTCAGGAAAGGTATACTTGTCATAAGTGCTACTACCTTTATAAAGTTATGCATGTTCTGTGCTGTTTTGTTTCTACAATGTACAATTTCTTTATATAGTTTCATCCTCTATCCCTTATCAGGGTGGTTTTATTGCAGGATCTTGCGTGATAGAGCTCTCTACAAAGTGACTTCTGACTTTGTTGATGCAGCAATTAAAGGAGCTATTGGAGTCATCAGCAGATGTATTCCTCCCATAAATCCAACAGATCCAGAGTGCTTTCATATGTTAGTGGGACCCTTATAACTTCTGAGTTTCTATTCCACCCTTGTAGTCAATGCTATTTGCCGGTTTGAGCATTGCGCGATGTATTCTGCATCTTTATGTTCTTATGAATGATTACGGGCTATGCTCGTTAAAATTCTATTTCTTTGAGAGGTTTGTGATCATTAGTAAACTTTTCCATAATATCTCGTTCTTGTTTATTCTTATTCTAGGTATGTTCACAACAATATATTCTTCAGTTTTGCTGTGGATTCAGACCTTGAACAGCTCTCCAAGAAATGTAATTCAGATGCTAGTTCAAAGACTGAGAACACTAGTTCTTCAATTAAATCATCTGAAAAGGCCACTGCCAATGGGATGAAATGTGATGGATCAACCGCAGAAGTGATGGAATTGCCTCCCGAACCTTCTGAGCCACAGTTGGCTGAGAGCGAACAAGCTACATATGCTTCGGCAAATAATGATCTGAAAGGCACCAAATCCTACCAGGAAGCTGATGTCCCTGGTTTATATAATCTTGCCATGGCCATAATTGATTACAGGGGTCACAGAGTGGTAGCCCAGGTGTGCATCATAGATGCAATTCTTCTTTCTTTCTTGCTTTCGCCCTCACACTCAACTTTACATGCACAGAAACACACACTCACATGCATGCACCACTTTAGTATAACATGCATGCATGCAGTTATCATTGAAGTTATATAAAAAAGGAATGCAATTTTAGGCAAATTGCTCTCTTTTGCTTCTTGACAAAATTGGTGTCTGCTTTTTCTGTTATCATAGGTTATATGATTACTTATTTGCTAAAGATTGCTTTTTCTCTCATCTTAGGGAAAAAAGAATAATATCTCAAATCCTAATCCATGCTGCGTTTCCCATTGCATTGAACTTCCTGTCTTACTTGACAGCCAGTGGTCATTTTTGTTGTTCCTGTCTTTTTTTAAAAAAAACTTGTTTTTAATGTTGTTGGCCCTATTATCATCCCACTCTTCTTTTGGATTTTGTTTTAGAGTGTCTTACCTGGCATTCTTCAAGGGGATAAATCAGACTCTCTGCTGTATGGTTCTGTTGATAATGGCAAGAAAATACGCTGGAACGAGGATTTTCATTCCAAGGTGAGCAGAAATTTAAGTTATCATTATGGGTTGATGGTAATGCATCATTAATTGAGAGGGTCTTGTATTCAGGGTAGATAATTTTGTTATTAGTCCTGGGAAGTATGTTTGTATCTCACATCAGCTATATATCCTGGGCACCATGCTACATCCAAACATTATTATGTTCTCAGATTTGTATATCACACACTTTCATGTTAAGTACTGATCTCTGTGTGACTCAGGTGGTTGAAGCTGCCAAACGCCTTCATCTAAAGGAACATACTGTCCTAGATGGATCTGGGGATGCTTTCAAATTAGCTGCACCAGTGGAATGCAAGGGCATTGTGGGTAGTGATGACAGGTGAGGTGATTGATCTCCTGGGATTTTATCTTTATAGTTTCTCTTCCCTTCTATCACTTGGTGGCCTTCTCTCTCTCTTCTTTATTGCCTTTTTTGTGTTATGGTAATGATTAATGATGAAACCATCAGTATGGGAACTGCCTTACAAGGCTGCTGATCCTTTCGTAGTTGTATTCTTTTTTTCACTAAAATATGAAATGAAAATCAAAGAATAAATCAGCATTTGCATTACTGTTCTTCTATCTGTTTAATAAACTTCCAGCATCGAAGTGCTGTTGAGTGGAGTTCGGTGGTACTACATTGTTAACATCCCTAGAATATTCATTCTTTTATAAGCACTTGTTATGATTGGTAATTTTATTTCCTTTATCAGGCATTATCTACTGGACTTGATGAGAGTAACTCCTCGTGATGCAAACTATACCAGACCTGGCTCGCGGTTTTGCATATTGAGACCAGAATTAATCACTGCCTTCTGTCAGGTATGTTTGTGTGGACAAAATTTGGTAATCATGGGCTTATTTCTGCATTTTCATTTTTTTATTTTTTTAATGGCAAAGGCCGAAGCTGTGGCAAGGTTGAAGAGTAGACCTAAATCTGAGGGAGGGGTTCAAGTGGCTGCTGATTCTACAGAAGTTGCTAATGCTGATAAGCAAGTTAAATCTGAGGAAGCTGCAGTGCCCATCAACAATCAAGTAAGATTGTTTGGCAACCTTTTCTTACTTCTGGCACCATGCTCAAGCTAGAATAAATTGCACTTTATGAGGTTCATGTGATTGAAATGCATGCATGCAGGGGGTCATCTGGAGGGTTCCTATGCAATTGAAATGTTTGTTTGTTTTATTTGGTCATAAATGCTGCAACATGACACAGTCGTGACTGAGGGTGGAACATTCTCTTATTATACCTGAAGCTATACATAGTTACAGTGTTATGTTCAAACAGTGACATATGGCTTCAGATTTCTTCGGAGGGCAAGTGTAAACTAAATTTTGTCATAAATGTCAAGTGCATTTTATTGTAATATGTATATGAACACTATTACCCACAAGTGTGTGAGCACTTATTTGAATCATGTACTTTTGTGTTCGTCTTTAGGAGATAGCTAAAGAAGGGAAAGCTGACACTGTAGAAGAAAGTGCTCCTCCTCCTGCTGGAAGCTCTGAATCTCATGAAGAAATACTTTTTAACCCTAATGTTTTTACCGAGTTCAAGTTGTCTGGGAATCCAGAGGTGAACATCTAACCTTTTGGTTTTCTTATTGTAAATCCCATGATCCATTTGAATTTGCTGGTTTTCTTAGTGACCAAATACCTTTGTTTCCAATTGTGGCCCAAAAGCTGTTCTGGTAGCCGCACAGTAACACTAAACAACTAGGAGTTCATATTCTTTTTTCAATTGCCATTTATCAGGAGATAGCAGCGGATGAAGAAAATGTGAAGAAAGTTAGTTCGTATCTTGCAAATACTGTGCTTCCAAAGTTCATCCAAGATCTTTGCACACTTGAAGTCTCACCCATGGATGGACAGACTCTTACTGAAGCACTACACGCTCATGGAATTAATGTTCGCTACATGGGAAAGGTAAGCTTATACATTTATTTAATGCTCTCTAACATTTGTGCCAGGATTCTGACAAATTATTTTGTCAAATAACAAGTTTTGTAGCTCAACTTAAATTTGATTTATTAATGTAGTGATAACAGAAGTCACTATTATTTAATCTGTTTTCTGTTATTGGGTTATTACATTTGACACAAATCAATGATTTCTTTAGGTTGCTGAAGGGACAAAACACTTACCTCATCTATGGGATCTTTGTTCCAATGAGATCATTGTCAGGTCTGCAAAGCATGTCCTCAAGGTGATCAGCTTTATCTGACCCCCTCAAAAGCTACGAATTGCTGTTCTTTCTATTTTCCATTAAAAAAAGTGCTGACTAACTTTTGAATGTCTTCAAATTAATGCAAGGCCCATTACCTGCATGTTGACAGCATTGTGTCTGTAGTGTTTTGGCAACTGGGCCACCCAGTTTTCTAAGAGAGGCATTTTGTAGTTCTCTAAAGTGTTTCCTTAGGATAATTTTGCTCCAGTTAATCACTAGTTAGTTGGTATTTGGTCAGTCCAGGCCAGGCATCTGTCTTCAAGTGATTTTGTTGCATGTGCAAACCTGTTTGGGACAGAAGTTGCTTTTGTTCTATCCTTTCTAATGCATTATATGTGCATCTTGTCATTAATTGGCAATAGATCTTTGAAGCAAACTGTAGAAAAATGCTAATGTGCTGCAGAATACAGCTATCAGATCAGTGACTCCATGTGGGGCCCACTGATCTAATGGATAGAATTTTTTGGGGACGAGTCTCTGGTAGGCTAGACTTGTTATTAATTGATGTCCATTTGCTGTTCAAATTTAAATTCTCCTATCTAGTTACGGGGATTGGTGGCTGTTTTGATTCATCAATTTCATTTTACATGGGCAAGAACAGCAAGCTGTTATTGTGTAGTCAGAATAAGAAATTCTGAGTTTTCTTATTGGCAGAGGACACTAAATATGAAAAAGTGCACACACAAGCACATAAATGTCCTTTAAACCCATGCCTCTGGTACTAAGCAATTGCCTTTCTCCTGCCTGCCTTTTGTTCTGTTGATACAGGATCTCCTCAGGGACACAGATGATAATGATTTAGGGCCAGCGATCTCTCATTTTTACAATTGTTTCTTCGGAAGTTGTCAAGCTGTTGGTGTGAGAGTTTCAACTAATAATTCGCCTTCAAGAGCAACAAAGAAAGTATGTTTACAAAAGATTAATAGTCATAATTGTTTTTCAGTTACTTCCATCACACATTGTATTTGCTCCTAAGCTGTTATGAGCTATGCTTAAGGCCCCCATATGCTATGTTTTCCCTTCTGACCATTCCATTTCCCAGATTCGATAGGTCGAATCTCACAGGAAGAGGAAGACTTGTGTTTGAACTTGAAATATTTTTACTATTATATCTAATTTCTTTCATCAATGTTTAATCAACTGGTTTCTTATGTTGGAACACTTACAGGAACAAGCTAGCAATCATTCTTCAAGAAAATCCTCTAGGGGCCAGACAAGGTGGAAAGGAGCATCTGCAAGAAAGAACCAATCCTCATATATGAATGTTAGCTCAGAAACTGTATGGTCTGACCTTCAGGAACTTGCAAAGCTCAAATACGAGGTATCTTTTACCATGATGTGGGTTGTATAATTTGAGATTAACTTGAAATTGAATTGGTCCATTTTCTTACATGGCTGTTTATTTGACTTACAAGAAACATTGCTATTATCATTTGTAAGGGGGCATTATTCTATTACCATAGCGCTAAAATATAAGATGCAAGTATAATATGCTGGATCTAATGCACTCCTATGTATAGTTTGAGTTGCCAGAGGATGCGAGGTTACAAGTGAAGAAAGTCTCAGTTATACGTAACCTTTGCCAAAAGGTCTGTTTCAGTTCCTATGTCATCCATTCATATTGACATGCTTATATTTTTTGTTGGAGGAGTTTTCACAATGATTGATTTTTGTTAAATGTCATTTCCATCCTGTGCTGCCTGGAACAGTTTTTTTCTTTTTACAAGTATATATTCATTAGTGGCCATAAATGCCCATGCTTCTTTTTTCTTCTACCACTGTGATCATTGTTTCCTATTATTGTTTTCTTGCCAAAGAAAAACATTTTATGTTTGCCTTTGGGGTGCTAATTGTAATTATATTCTGATTCTTCAGAATAGACTAATGAATTTCATGTTGGCTTGTGGTTGACATTCTAAATGGCAAATGATTTGTGTTTTATGTGGTTCCCTTCACAGGTGGGCATCACCATTGCAGCTCGCAAATATGATCTCCATACTGCAATGCCTTTCCAAATGTCAGATATCTTGAATCTCCAACCTGTGGTGAAGCATTCAGTTCCTCTATGTTCAGAAGCCAAGGATCTTGTGGAAACAGGAAAAGTTCAACTGGCTGAGGTATGTCCTGGACAAGGTTGCCTTCATTAGTGGGTCTTGGATGATTGTACTGTGTTGATCCTTCAAGAATCAAATTCTTTGATTGTGATAATGTTTCTTCCAGAACAGTTATAGGTTTTTAGCTTCGAATTTAGTTGTGTTAAAATCCTATTTGAGCATGGGTTAAAATGGATTTCAGTACACCATAATTTTGGTAAAGACAGTATCTGGAAAAAAAACAGAATATTACTCTTTGGTAACCTATTTTCAAGTAGTATAGCCTTGCATGGTGGCAAGTGCAAGCCTAACATATGATCTTTGACTTTGTGGAATATAAAAACATTTCACAGAATATGCTGTGTGTTTCTTGAAAGATGTTTGTGGTTATTTAATACTGTCGCTTTCTTTTGCTTCAGGGGATGCTTAGTGAAGCCTACACGTTATTCTCTGAGGCATTTTCCATTCTTCAACAGGTATGTTGTTCTTTTTTCTTCATCCATTTAGAAAGTCTCTGAGATAAATATCTTGACCATTCTATTTTGTGTTTTAGGTGACTGGTCCAATGCATCGTGAGGTTGCTAACTGTTGTCGGTGGGTATTGTAACTCAATAACCAAACAATTCTTAATTTCTGATTCTGTTTCCTTGACTTTTTGTCAATGACATGTGAAATCATGCTTATTTTAACTGAGTATACTTTGAAAATGCAAGGTCATCTACAATAATCAGACCCAGCTTTTTCTAGTCAGCAGTGATTCTCTGTTTATTCATTTGCACTTGAACTTGAATATTCAGGTACCTGGCCATGGTTCTGTACCATGCTGGTGATATGGCTGGAGCAATCATCCAACAGCACAAGGAGTTGATCATAAATGAACGTTGCCTGGGATTAGACCACCCTGATACTGCCCACAGGTATCATTTCCTTGCCATTTTGTCCTTCGTATTAAGTTAATTTGCAGTGGTGTTGTTATTTTGCAGTGCACTGACAATTGTCTGACAAATTTGCAGTCTTAAATTCTTTGAAAATTGAGATATCTTCATTTCAGTTTCTGCATTCAACAGTTAGCACCTGTTTAAAATTCGTTCACTGTGTTTTTGCAATTATGCAGTTATGGAAACATGGCTCTCTTTTACCATGGACTGAACCAAACAGAACTTGCACTGCGGCACATGTCTCGTGCGCTTCTCTTACTGAGTTTGTCATCTGGCCCAGATCACCCTGATGTGGCTGCAACCTTCATAAATGTTGCAATGATGTATCAGGACATTGGAAAGATGAACACAGCTCTTCGCTATCTGCAAGAGGCCTTGAAAAAGAATGAGAGGCTTTTAGGAGAGGAGCATATTCAAACTGCTGTATGCTACCATGCTCTTGCAATCGCATGTAACTGCATGGGCGCATTCAAGCTATCACACCAGGCATGTTTTTGCTTGACATTTCTTTAGTATTGATTTTCTCTGATATAGCGATAGCACAGATGACTGAATTAGCTTTTGCTTGTGCACAGCATGAGAAGAAAACCTACGACATACTTGTCAAACAACTTGGTGAGGAGGACTCAAGGACACGAGATTCCCAAAACTGGATGAGCACATTTAAGGCACGAGAACTGCAGGTTGATGCAGTATTAAAAAAAATGTTATTTTATTTTTCTGTTTCTCAGTTTCTGAACTTTTAATATATTTTTATTTACAGATGAATGCGCAGAAGCAGAAAGGTCAGACATTGAATGCAACTTCTGCTCAAAAGGCGATAGATATATTGAAGGCAAGTGTTATTTAATTTTTCTTTGATTTAATCTGATGAGATGGTTTATTGGTATTTAGATGATGGATATGGCCATTTTATCATTTTTGTGCTTGTGGAAATGATTCCCTGTAAAACATAAAGCGTGCCCAAGTAGTTGTGCTAAAAAACGAAGTGCATTCATTAGAAATTCTTTGTTTTGCCTGATACAATTTTCTTCCTGTTTTGTGTTGTCCTTGCATCTCTAATTGCACGAATTAAGTTAAGTGACAAGGTGTATAGTCTCTTTGTAAGTGTCTGCTAGTGTCTATTGGAGACCAGAATATCTGATGTTGATTTGAGTGTCAGGCTAATCCTGACCTGCTGCATGCATTCCAAGCCGCCGCTGCTGCTGGAGGATCTGGATCTGGATCTGGGAGCTCTAGCAGTTCCATTAACAAATCCCTTAATGCAGCAATAGTTGGTGAAGCCCTTCCACGAGGGAGGGGGGTAGATGAACGAGCTGCTCGTGCAGCAGCAGAAGCTAGGAAGAAAGCAGCTGCTAGGGGGCTCTTGATTCGCCCGCACGGTGTTCCTGTACAAGCTTTGCCACCATTCACTCAGCTCCTCAACATCATTAACTCAGGGGCGACTCCAGATTCCATCAACAACGAGGAAGCAGGTGGAGTGAACAATGAAGCTAATGGGCAGTCTTCTAATGACCCAGTAGATAAACAAAAAGATCAAACATCAGGGAAAGATCAGGCTCCTATTGGGTTGGGCAAAGGCTTAAAATTATTAGATGCCAAGAAAGAGAAAGCAAAGGCCAAAGTTGCAGCTTGAAGTTTCGAGGCAGAGATTGGATTGATTAGTGGCAAGGCTTAAACAATTGGAAGTGTTCGTATTTCTTGCCATTTGTGGGGGGGCATCCTTTCATAATCAATTACAGTGGTGACCGGCCGTCAACTACTCATAGAAACTGAAGAGTACCGAGGTGTGCCAAAGAAACCATCTTTATTCGATTTGTCCAAAAATCACCCTCGTAGATATAATTGATTGAGCATGCATGGGGGTCATGAGGTGCAAGATAGATGATAAATGACAATGTTATGTAGGTACACTATATAAATTGATGATTAATTTTCCAGCTAGTTTTGTAACTTCAACTCAAAAATTAGTTTTGTAATTTGTTTGCAAGGGCTGCTTGCTCTTGGCACCCTTGCTCTGTAAGGGATAAAGGATAGCCACTTTTTTTTTTTAATTAATGAAAATAATATATTTTTTGTTTTATAGTAACCTTGTGATGGAAAATGACAGTGCTAGTTGCCGTTGCAGCATGGCATGTTGAAAGAATGGTTCGTTGTAATCGTCTTTTCCACGACGAGGGGTGGGTGTAACTACTTATTAGCCTCCTGTTTATTTGATGCAGGTTTTTTAACATGTTTTTAAATATAAAAAAGTTTTCAATTATAAATAGAAATATTTATTCACTCAAATTGAATAAATTGATATTCAATAAAAAATAATAATTAAGATTAAAATATTTAAATCATGTATTCTATTATGTTTTGTTTATAAGAATAAATTTTTTATCTAATCAAATAATTATTTGAAACAAATTAAATAAAATTATAAAGTCTAATCATCTAATAATATAATGTTGAATATGTTGTATGGTAAATAAAAAAAAATATTTTTACAAAGAAGCAATAATAAAAAAAAAGATATGGGTTAACTTAGGTTAATATGCTAACTCTGCAATTATGGACGCAAGATTGAGATAATTCAAAAAACAAATAAAAAAAAAAGATCAATATAAAAAAAATATTGGATAATAAAATTAAAAAAATAATTTTTAAAAATAATAAAAAATCGATCAAACTCAACTCTTATTATTCTTCAAAACTCGTGACCGTAATTATTAGGCTAAGATTACCTGCAAGGCATATAAAAATAAATAAAGCAAGATATTCAATTAAAAAATATACTAGTGGTGAAACTAAAAGAAATAATTAAAAAAATGGTAATGAAAAAATATTTTCAGTGAACTCATTTTAAATCACTAACCCTATGACCATAGGAATATGATTAAAATAACTCAACATAAAAGAAAGTGAAGAAAAAATCATGGAAATCAATTAAAAAAATCAAATATTAAAAAAAAAATTTGACAATAAATTAAATTTATAAAAGGATTTAAAACAAAATCAAATTCAACTTGTGTTAAGGTCTTGAGACCGACTAACCCTATAGAAGGGGGAAAAAACAAAGAAAAAAATCTCAATTAAAAAAACATTGAGAGATGAAATTGAAAAAAAAAAAACTACAATAAAAAAGTATAAAAAACAACAATAAAAGTGGAGACTAAATTCAATATAAAATAAATTAAAATTAAATATTAAAGGATAAAATTAAAAATAAAATTTAATTAATAAAAAAGTTAAAAGAAATCAAAAGAATGGGGACAAAATCTAATTAAATCAAATTATAAAGGATAAAATTTAAAAACAATATAATGTTAATGCTTAAAATTGAAAACAAAATTTAATTAGTGAAAGGTTTAAAAAAATTTAAAAAATAAAAATTAAATTTGATATAAAAATCAAATTAAATCAAATGATAAGGGATAAAATTAAAGAGAAATTTAATTTAAAATAAATAAAAAAAATAAATAGTAATAAAAAAACAAAAATCATATTAAATAAAAAAAATAAATAAAAAAATATCTTCACACTTTGATAAGAAAAAAAAAATCATCAAAGCCAAGTCAACATTTTGTTGTGTACATGCATTGTACCTAAAAAAAAAAAATATTGACACGCTTTCAAACACTACTGTAAAAGATGTAAAAGATAGTGTTTCATCGTCATAATACATGCATACATTACCTGAATGGTGTGGACGACGCCTAATATCTGATGCATGCATGGTATAACAAAAAAACAATAGCAAAAATAGAAATGTTTATAAAGCCCCAATCTGCCCATTTATTTATTTGTTTTCTCCCAGAACTATTCTAGTCATTGCCTTGTAACAAGATAATATAAAAAGACCCACCATGATTTAGAGTTTCTGTTAATATACAAACAGATGATCATTTTAGCATTTCACCTGAGTCATAGCCGACCCTCGTTTTCCCTTTTTCTGCCGGCCTCCTCTCCCTCCTAGGTAACCATTCCCTGTAGCTACTGTGGCTTATTTTCCACAGGCCGTAGGAGCCCCTCTCCTGATTTCCCAGATGGAATCGTCGTCTAGAAAATTGTCCTGGGCTCTCTCATTCCTCCATTAAATTGTGGCTGGCTGCAGGTATTCGAATTCATGAAGTTATTGAGAGGATATTTTCTTGCATTAAGCTTGATTGTGTGCATGAAGTTTAGTTTTAACATGCTAAAAATGGGAGCAAAAAATAATTTTTTAGGCAAGAAATGAAGTAAAATAGGATGTGGGATGATACTCCACGCATGAGGTTAGTTTGTTGAGTAATTTGAATCTCATAGTCGTTCGAGTAATTAGAAATGGCAACGCTCTGCGAGAAAAAGCTTATCCCATCAGTCATCACTGAATACATTTTTAAGAACTTGAGTTCTCTATCCATCCTCCACTACTTGGGATCATTTTCTGGAAGTCTATTAGCCATGCCTTACAACATAAAACTGTCCTCAAATAAATTTATTAGATTTTCATTATAAAATTTAAAAAATAAAATTCATCTGTACAGAATAGTTTTAAAATATTATATATGAATCAGAAAAAATCTTTAGACTTTAAATGCATTAATTATTATTTAAAAGAGATTTTTTAAATAAAATAAAATAAAAAAGAGTATTAATATAAATAAAAATAAAAAAAATTAGAGAAAAAAATCATATAAAAAAGCATTAATTAAAAAAAAAGAATCAAAAAAAGATAATTTAGAAAAAAATCATAGAAAGGCTTTATTTTTTCAGGACCATAACCATCAGAACTAACGAGTTAAGTAAATGCTAACGGTACAAATATAAATCAGCGAATGTATCAAAAGTTTGACACCTCAATTGAATGCCGAATGCATAGATGCACGCACCAGCTTCACAATCATTCTAGCAACTCATCCAAAAAAAATAAAGAGGGGGCAACAATCATTGTGGTACAAACTACAAAATATAATATATGTACAAAGTCGAGCTATTCCAATGGAAGGCTACCATTTTGTATCAAATGGGGATGGTGATTTGCTGTGGGGAAACACACCATCCAAAATAAATAGAAAGTCAGATACATCTCAACTTTTCTCCTACAAAACTTCTGAAACAGGATGTGGTTATTACCATTGACCTTTTTCCTGTCCTTTATCATTCACTTGTGTTAATCTTCTAAGCAATAAAATGGGATGATGAGCAGAAGAAAATATTACCCCGGTCTCACCCACATGCTCCAACAGCACGTTTTTCATATTCACCATGTTCTTCTTTGGCAAACTCCTCAATCAATTCACGCTGTCTTGGGGTCAAATTTCTGTAGCAAAATATGTTTTCTGTAAAGGTATTGTCTACCACTTGAAAAGTTAAGGAGCCAAAAGGATGGCTATAGTTATCATATATTATGCATTGCCCATCTCGCCATCCAAAAATTATGGGCAAAACAGAACTTAAAATCTCTATATGATTCTTCATTCATCCATTTCTAGTAGTGGGCAGCGCAGCAAATACATCCAAAAGTTGAGCAGAGTTAAATAAATTGACAGAGAAACTCACGTTGGAATGCTGACATTGAAGTGCACAAACTCATCACCAAACGAATACGATCCCCGTGCTTTTATTCCTGTCAGGAAATACAATGAAATTCTTACTTCATCACAGACAAAAGCAGAGTAGCATACCACACACATGAAGGAATAAGGAACATCCTTGAGAACCACAACAAACTACTGAGGCTTTTCCAAATTTATCACCATTAATTCAGTACTTAACAAAAAATTACAGCAGATTTTTTGATAAGATCTAGGATAAGGAAACAAAAGCCACTTAAAAAATTGAAAACCATAAGCTTGGAGGTATGCTAACAAGATAACCTCCAGCAGGGATATAGCCCCAAAAGCTATCTCGACAGG